CATTTAAATCTTACCATTTGGTTATTTTTTAATCAATTTTTGGCTAACCATTCGGTTAACCAACCATTTTTCACACCCAAAAAGTAATGCAAACGGCAATTTTGAGTGATGAAATTTTTCGTTTTCAGCCAATAAATAAAGAAAATTTTATTTAAAAGGGTACAAAAGTTACCTAACCCATTTACATATGTGTCGACTCAGATTTACATATGCGTCAACACATAGCTCTACTGTATCACAGTGCGTTGCTAAGGGTCCCCACATTGATAGGATGCAGACAAGATAAGGTTTGGGTGATGAAAGTTCGAACATTGGTCTATTTCTTTTTATACTTTTATTAGTGATTGACGGAGCAAGTTATTTATTTATTTATTTCATTTTATTTTATTTTATTATTTGGATATATATATATATGGCGCAAAAAGCAGAGTAAGGGGGGTCTTTTGTTGATTTTGGGTCTGGTTTTGGGAGTCTCCTTCTGAGTTTTCGAAGAGCAGTAGAAGGGGATTTCGTGGGAAAGAAAATTAAGGGGCAACAACGGCTAGAGGAGGAAACATTGTTGAGTTTCAAGAAGTGTGCCTTTTCTGGATTTGTTTCTGTAGGTAATTTTATTATTAATATTATGTAAATTATTTTAATTAAATAATTATTTAATAATAATAATTTTTTATTTTTTAATATAAATTAATATAAAAAAATAATGATTGCATCCTTCCCATCCCATGCGTTGTACACAGATGAGAAAAACTCTATTCTATTATTAATCCCCGGTAGGTCCCGCCCTCCTCTAATTCTTCTTGGGACCCATTAATATTTCATTAATCCCCCGGACTCACCCGTGCCCCTATAAAAGGCGGCCACCAAGCAATTAACTCCTCATCCCTTCCCATCTACTTCTAGCATCTTAAATATACATGGAAACTCAAACAGGTAATTCCTATTTCCTTCCATACATCAATATATATATTACTTAAGTATTTTCTTTCTTTTTCTTTTTTTTTTGGCCCAACACCAACTATTCAAGTTATGTCATGGTAGACGCGGCGAATTTTGCCGAGAAATTAACACAGTACTTTTTTTTTTTGTAGTTCACAGGATCTTCAGGGGCGGCATGACGTCCTTGGTGTTGGTGGCATTCATGGCCACAATTTCAGTTGCTTCATTGGACAGCAGGACATACATTGTTCACATGGACGAGTCCAAGATGAAAACCTCCTATCCTTCTGCAGCTAATTCCAAAGAAATGTTTGAAGAAATGCTTAATTCAATCTCCCAACTCTCCACTGATTCAGAAGCAACACCACCTCCCAGCCTACTTTATGCATATGACACTGCAATCTTTGGTTTTGCTGCCAAGCTTTCCCCTATGCACCTAGAATCAGTAAGAAACATGGATGCTTTTGTCGCTGCCATTCCCGATAGGTCAATGCGTCGACACACCACACACAGTTATCAGTTTCTTGGTCTAGAACAGGGCAGAGGACTCTGGCATGCTTCAAATTTAGCGTCTGATGTGATAATTGGTGTCATAGATGACGGTATCTGGCCTGAGCATCCTAGTTTTCACGACCATGGTTTTGGTCCAGTACCAGCTAGATGGAAAGGCGCTTGTGAGAGCGGTACAAACTTCTCCTCCTTAAACTGCAACCGCAAGCTGATTGGTGCCAGATACTTCTTTAAAGGGTACGAAGAAGCACTCCATCGCAAAGTCAATGAAACCCAAAATTATAAGTCCCCCAGAGCAACAAGTGGTCATGGAACTCACTGCGCATCAACTGCCGGCGGCAATCTTGTACAGAACGCAAGTTTTTACGGGCTAGCCAGTGGTGTGGCGGCCGGAATGAGGTACACATCAAGAATCGCGGTATATAAAGTTTGTTGGGAAGGGCCTGCTGGTTGCTCTGATTCTGATATTCTTGCCGCCATTGATCAAGCAATTAAAGATGGAGTGGACGTAGTGTCCATTTCATTAGGACCTGTAGAAGGAGGAGCTGCCCCATACTTTGTGGATTCCACTGCTCAAGCAGCATTCGCTGGAATCCAACGAGGGATCTTTTTTTCACTTTCAGCCGGAAATGAAGGCCCGCTTACTGTTGGCAACACTGCACCATGGCTCATGACGGTGGCTGCAAGCTACACTGATCGGAGCTTCCCCACAATAATCAAGCTTGGAAATGGACAAATTTTTGAAGGTATATCTTTGTACTCTGGTAAATCATTAAAAGAATTGCCAATTGTGTATGGACCAACTGCAGGAAAAAAATTTGCTCAGTATTGTGTTCCGGAGACACTCAGCCCAAAGCTTGTAAAAGGAAAGGTGGTTGTTTGTGAACAAATAGGAGGATTTGACACATATCAACAAGCAGAGTATGTGAAGTTGGTAGGAGGAGCTGGCACGATCATCTTTCCTGATAAGGGTGAAAATCCTACTGCTTATCCTTCCATGTTTCCAGCAGCTTCCGTGGGAGACTTGGCAAGAAACGCCATATTAAGTTATTTGAAATCTACAAAATCACCTACAGCTTCACTAACTTTCAAAGGAACCACTTATGGAAAGCGTGCACCAATGATGGCTGCGTTTTCATCGAGAGGGCCAAATCTAGTTGGTCCTGACCTGCTCAAACCGGACTTGACTGCACCAGGAGTGAACATATTAGCAGCATGGCCAAGTATAACTAGCCCATCTGGGGAGGAGGGTGACAAAAGAAGGGTTATGTTCAATTTATTGTCAGGGACTTCGATGGCTTGCCCTCATGTTAGTGGCCTAGCAGCACTACTTATATCAAGGCACAGAGAATGGTCACCAGCGGCAGTTAAATCAGCCATGATGACAACCGCTTATAATTTGGATAATAGAGGGAGTCCAATTAAGGATGTTTATAATGGTGGCCCTGCAACACCTTTTGCAATTGGTTCAGGCCATGTTGATATACAGAAAGCTTCTGATCCAGGATTACTATATGACATCCACCCTCATGAGTATTTAGATTACTTGTGTAGCCTCAATTATAGTCCTTCTCAGATAGCCTTATTTGATCGGAATTTCACATGCCCCAAAAGGTCCACCATGCAGCCTGGAGATCTGAACTATCCTTCCTTTGCAGTGCCTTTTGATAGTGATGCTGTTACGATTACCTACAGAAGAACTGTCACAAATGTTGGAAATCCTCCAGTAGGTACTTATAAAGTGCAAGTGGAAGAACCCATAGGAATATCAGTTAGGGTGAAGCCTAACATTTTAAGTTTTAAGATGCATGGTCAGAAGCTACAATACAAGGTGAGTTTCACTGTAAAAAGACGACTCATTGAATCTGATGACTCATCTTTTGGATCTTTAACATGGGTGTCTGAGAAATACGCGGTCCGAAGTCCTATTGTAATAACTTATATATAAAGAGAGCCCTGTGCTTATCATAGGGGAAAGCAGGGGATTTAATCATGTACTGCTCAAGTTATTGTGTGTGCTATGCGTATGCCTATGTATAATTAATGTTTGATGGGAAAAATAATTAAAAGCATATAAAATGGTTTTTATCTACTTCGGCTTAATTTTATCTTTCCAATGTGACCTCCGCGCTTGTTATTTCCCTTAAAGAAATTTTTTTTTAACAAATATAAATATTTACAACTAAGAAAGTGGGAGGATGGAGAGCAGAAGTTGAATTTCTTACCTCCCAGTGATCTTCCCACTAAGAGATAGAGTGGGACCACTGACGCGGAGATCCTTTAAAGAAAAACTTTAATCATTCAGCAGCAGAAATTTCCACAAGAATGTCCTTTATTTTAATATATATATATATATATATATTTGCTTCCGCCTTTTGCCAAAACCATTATCTCAGCCACTAAGAGACTAAGTACTTGTTCTGTAGAAATCGTCTTCTCTGATTATTTCTCTTTTTGTTGTTGATTCGTTCTTGGATACCATTCAAAGTGAATAATTAGGGTGGAAAATCTCAGAATTGCTACGTGAAATCTGCTTGTTATAAATTAAATGATATACCCCTTATTTTTACTAATATATATTTACATTGTCGCACTTCTATAGCTCAGTGAAAAACCACTCAAAGAAATCAACGAGAAACCTTTCCGCGGCCCAATTGCGGAGACTGATTCCCTCTGTTTGAGACAGCCAAGAAGCTTCTGACCCTCCCTTGCTGTGAGCGGCGGAGAGGAAAAGAGGGAGCATGTGTGACAGCTGGTGGAGGGTGTCTGTAGCCAGAGGAATGGAGAAATGGTGAACGGAGGCCAAGATGGCGGAGAGTGCGATGGAACATTTTTTTTTTTTTTTTTTTTTTTTGCAGAGGGAGAGTCCGGGTGAAGGATCTGTGCAGCGGTTGAGTGTTTCCCCTTTGGTTGCGCCGTTGCCGAAAAGATGATGTGGACGGCAGCAGGAGCAACCCAGATCGGAGAAGAATAAGAGGGAAGGAGTCGAGTCGAGGGAGAGAAGACAGCGCCGAGGCCGACGTAATTTGAGTGGGCTGGTGGCTGATATTAGGTTTCTGGTTTTTTTTTTTGGTAGAATATTAGGTTTCTGTTTACGGGGTCATGGAAAAGAGTAATGTTTTGGGCCGGATTTGACAAGGTTTAAGGTTAGGCTAAGGGTTCCTGATTAGGGCTTACGGTTTTCATATGTGGGCTTTAGGAATTGGATCAAAGCCATGGGTTCGACTTTAAATTCATTTTTCTTTTCTTCTGGCGCCTCAGTTTCCCAAGTCTTTAAATTTAGTTCATTACCACCCCCCCCTCCCTCCCTCCCTCCCACCCTTTTTACCCTCTGCATTTTATTTCTCAGGTCTTAAAATTAAAAAAAAGATAAAGAATTATGTTTTTTTGACTATCTAATCTCCTTCAATTGGATCCTTAATGTTCTTCTTTTTTCCTTTTTTTTTTTTTTGTAGTTAAACATTATTATGAGGAAACTTTAAGCTACTCTCAATTCACTCAAAAGTGAGTATTTGACAATATAAAAAAAAGTTTAAAGAAAAATAAAAATTAATTAATGATATGAAATCTAAAACTTTAATTTTCCATTATGAGGAAACTTTAAGCTACTCTCAATTCACTCAAAAGTGAGTATTTGACAATATAAAAAAAAGTTTAAAGAAAAATAAAAATTAATTGATGATATGAAATCTAAAACTTTAATTTTCCATTATTGTTGAAGTTTTTGTTGCCACATCTCTTTGGATCTCCTAAAAAAACCCCCAAATTTGATGTCGAATGGGTTCTTTTTTTTCTTTTTTCTTTTTTTAATAGAAGTTGAAGAAACCTAGTAGAAAATTAGTGGGTCCTATATCAAAATAAAATTTTTTTGAAAGAAAATGCTGAAAATTGCTCATGGTGTCGCTACCCAAAAGTAAGGTGTCAACACCATACTTGAATGCCTACTGCCTCGTGCCTAAATCCCTGTTGCCTCGTCCCTAAATCAAGTTGGTTAAAATACCAATTTGATCTCTCAATTTTTAGATTTATGCTACTTTAAAAGTACTAAAATTGTCTTTGAATTTTAATTTTTAATACTAAAAAAGTCCTTTCATTAATAAAAATATCACGTAACTCATTATTTTACTATAAAATTAATTTTTTTAATAACATATAAAATCAAATAATCATATTTATTTTTATGATATATTTTTATTTATACATAAGATTAATATATAATTAAAGTTAAAAAACAAGCACGTTCGACATGACTTTTAGAGCAATGAAGAAAGGGTGTGGACGCCGAGTCCCGGTCGGAAAATTGAGCTTTTGTGGTTTCTCTAATGGTAAAATATTAGATGTTGGTCCCAAAACGTTTCGATTTTATGCATTTTGATCCCAAAAAATCAAATTGATTCAATAAGGTCCCCGATTTTTGACTTTTTCTTTATAATTTTATCCTTAACGTTATGCAAGATTTGCACTTAACCCCCAAACTTTTTAATTTTATGCACACTAATCCATTTCCACGCAAATAATAAGTCTTGTAAAATGAACTCATTCAAATAATTATAAAAATTCCAATAGTAATCAAAACTAGAATAAAAGATTAAAATGAGATAGATATTTTTTAATACGAATTATACTTTTTTTGATGCAATCTAAAAACTAAAATTACAAAAATACCTTTCATGAATAAGGTTAGAGGGTAATTTTATTAAAAGTATTTAAATAATTTTAATACCAAAATTATACATAAAAACTGCAATTCGTATTGGAAAACACTTCTTAAAATTAAAATATATAAAATTCATCTTCTTAGTATTCAAAGTTCACACTCATGTTTAGAAAATCCTTGGACGCCCTAATGTTGCTGCAGATATATATGGAAGTCATTTCACCCAAATTGGACATCAGCTGCTATCAAATCTACAATCATGACAACAAGTACAAATGAATTGAGTCTTAACAATAATACTCCCTTTATTCAAAGAAAATTCTATGCTCAAAAGAGATCATGATTTTAATGCTTAATTTCATGCATGAATGGCAAATCCAATAAGCCAGAGAGTGAATAATGGGCTGAGTTTGCTAATGCTGCTGGACAACCGAATCCCTTTAAAGCAATAAATCCTGGTTTTTATTCTATGACATGGATGAGATATAGTTCCTTTGTCATGAGGGCTACGAGGGATTAAAAGCCATAAACTGCTCCTCTTTGCTTTCTACATATGGCTATGATGCTCTAAAGTCTAAACTACGTACCCATCTATGCAGCTTCCCTTACAATCAGGTCTACAACAAACAGTAGGTGTTTTCTAGAGGAGTGTCAATTATGTTGGTCTTTCGTCAAACTGATCTACAATGCTCCCATTAAGGCTCCCAAAGGATCGAGTGCAAATCACACTCAATTCCACTATCAGTCTTCACTTCTCTCATGCCTTGGAGAAGAAGAGTTTTAAGGTTGTTGTAAAGATAGGCAAAACCCATGCCAGGTTTGACAATTACACTGCTATATATTAGGCTCACTTGTGCGCTCACCTTGCTGTGAGGAGTCCCATATATAGCCATTTATGGCCTTGAAGAATTAAAGTGAAGTCATTCTCATTGTTTATTAAAAGCAAGTTGGGATATCGAGCTACCGAAATTAAAAGCAAATTTAAAAGTAATCAATTATGTATCTTACTTTAAAAGATGATAAAAGTAACAAATGAGACAATGCTCCTAGCAGCTTGAGGATACAGAAGTAATGCATGCAACAAATTATTGGGTGATGAAAATTTGGATAGTGATCAATTTGTTTATATACTTTTATTATTATTTATGAGGATGATCGACCTCTTGGTCTTAACATGTCCCACCTCCAATTTGCCGATCACACTGTTATTATGCAAAAGGCAGACCCTAGAAATATTAAAACTGTAAAGGGGATTTTGAGATGGTTTGAGTTGGTGTCGGGTTTGAAAATCAACTTCAACAAAAGTGTGCTGTATTCATTCAACGTTTTTGATGAGTGGGGGAGAATGGCAACTGCTTCTCTTAATTGTAAATCAGGTTCCATCCTTTTCACCTACCTTGGGATGCCAGTTGGGGATGCTATGGGTAGAAGGAACGCCTGGATTCCAATTATTGAGAATTTTAACAAAAAGCTGGTAGTCTGGAAAGCGAAATGCCTATCAATCGATGGCCGAGTTATGCTACTAAGGTCTGTACTTTCTGCCTTCCCAATCTACTTTATGTCCGTTTTTAAAATTCCTAAATTGTGCTCCATGAACTTGTTTGCTTTCAAAGGAAATTTCTGTGGGGATACACGGAGGAAAAGAGTAGGTTAGCATGGTTGAGTTGGGATAAAGTGTGTAGGAGGAGAAAAGAGGGAGGCTTAGGTGTACCAGACCTTGAGTGTAGGAACATAGCTTTACTAGGGAAGTGGTGGGATAGATTTGGGAAGGAGGAGAATAGTTTATGGAAGAAAGTTATATCCGATAAATATTATGGTGGTGGTACTATATGGGATATTAAACAAATTCAAGTTAGGAATTTATCTACCCTATGGAGGAACATTTTGGACTTAGGTAATGAGGGAGGTAAAGGTTCAAAGATATTTAGGGAAGGATTCTGTTGAAAGTTGGGGATGGGTGACAAAATTAAATTCTAGTATGATAAGTGGGTAGGAACAGAACCTTTGAACGTCACTTATCCTTGATTATTTAATTTAGCATCTAATAGGACTGTTAATGTTATGGAAGTGGGACAAGTTTCTAATGGATTCTGGACTTGGAGAAATGCTTGGAGACGTGAACCTTTTGGCAGGCAAAGGAATGAAGAACAAACGCTAAAAGAAAGCCTAATGGGTGGGCTTGTGTTCTCTACCTAACCTAACCAAAGAAGTTGGAGTTTTGATGCTACAAATGGCTACACTGTCAATAAGGCTTACTCAATGTTGGCTGGGCAAAATAGAATTTTGGAAACAAGAATCTGCAAAAGGCTTTGGAGCAGACTGGTACCAACCAAAATCAGCTGTTTCGGGTGGCGTCTCCTTCTTAATGGCCTTCCAACCTATACTCTTCTAGTCCTTGTGGGTTCTCCTTTTTAGGTATCAATACCGGAAAAGATGAATGGGAACCCCTTACCAGCTTATTGTTGATATGGAAGTCCGTTAGAAACTTCAATATATCATCTTTAACCACTTCCCATTTTGCTTTCAAAAACCCAAAGCTCAGACCATCTGGACCCGGGGCTTTTGCACTGTCACAGTTCCATACAGCTGCTTTGACCTCTGATTCAAGAAACGGTTTAGTTAAAAGCTCCTTTTCTGCTTCAAAAATTTTGTTAAATTCCATGCCCTCCAAAATTGGCCTTTTCCAGTCTTCCTTTGCAAATAGATTCCTGAAGTAGTCAGCCACTCCTTGTTTCAGCTCATTGACTTCTTGCATAACCTTCTCGTTGACCAATAGGGAGTTAATTTCGTTCCTTCTCCATCTACTTTTGATGCACTGGTGGAAGAAGCTTGTATTTGCATCTCCTTCTTTCATCCACATCATCCTTGATTTTTGTCTTTCCATTTCTTCTTTTGTTTGAATATTTTCCCATAGAGTTAGCATTAGATCCCTCTTGAGAAGGCCTTCCTCCTCACTTAGCTACTGTAATTCCCCTTTACAATCAACTTTAGCTATAGTCTCTTTTGCTTCCTCAATTTGTTTAGATATTAATTA